TTATGCAGTTGGGCATGGTGACTGCTCATCTGAGCTCTCATGGAGAAAATTGACCATTAACTAACCAGTGAAGCCATTTGAACCGTGTCACCCTCTGGCATAAGCAGGTGGAAATGCAAGCTAAGCATTTAATTAAGGAAACCCCAGTGAACTGCTTGGTCCTTTAAAAGGAGAATGGATGCTCACAGGGTGACCTGCTCTCAGAAGGGAGGAGAGGCTGAAGGTAGCTGATGATGTGTAGGTTGGACTGGGGGTAAGTGAGGCAGAGGGGAGGCTGCCCTGCCTCGGGGCATGAGAAGGGTGTCAGGACTTTCCCAGCCCTGTAGGGACAGCCCTGTAATTCCTGAAGTGTGGAGCCAGTTCCTTTCAAGTGAGGTGGGGGTCATGCTGCTGTCAGAGTGGTTCCCTGGCAGAAGGGACCTCCCTGACTGGAAGTATTGTTTCAAGATGCAGAGAAAGATTAGGAGGAGCTGGCTTTGCACACAAGCCTGAAACCGTGCAAGATGCCTCTTAATGCCTAGGCAAAGTACTCCTTTCGTTCTCAAATGGCAGAGCCTTTGTGCTCCTTTGTGCCATGGAGACCTCACAGCCCTTTCTGAGAATTCCCTTTCCTGGGAGGTGATGGGCACTGCCCACTTGTGCTGGAAGCATTTGTGATGCTCAGACCAAGATGTCAGACCAAGTTGTCCCTTCCACAGAACACCCATGGCAGGAAGGGTGACACTGAAAGAGACCCCAGCTGAGGGATGGCACCAGGGACACACATAAACCCAGGACAACCCTGTGTTTTGGTCTGGTATTGCAGGCCAAAACCAATTGTTTTGCAGAGGTTTGGCCTGATGGATTTGGCCCGTTCTGGGAAATCTCCTGCTCAGTTGCCCTTTGGGAATGGGGAAACAACGTTTGCTTTCCCAGTGTCTTGCTGGAGTGTTGCAGTGGGACTCACCTTCACTTTGTCTTGTTCAGGAGTTCAAGGAGGGTCGCCGGGCCAGTCACACAGCCCCACAGGTGCTCTTCAGCCACAGGGAGCCACCCTTGGAGCTGAAAGACACAGACGCAGCCGTCGGTGACAATATCGGCTACATCACCTTTGGTGAGCAGGCAGCTCTGAGGCCTGGGGACACCTGGGGAGTGGAGAGGTCCCTGCTGCTGCACGAAAAACAAACAGAAATTCACCTTCCCTAGTGTTCCAAGTGGGTAATTTGGGTTGAAGGAACTCTGGAGTGGTGTTCTGCATTGCCTGCCTGCTCTGGTGTGTCCCTTTGCTGTATCAAATCACTTCAGCCCTGCTCAGGGCAAGAAAGTGTGGAAGTGGACAATGAGCCATTTATAGTGTCTGCCTACAAAATAAGTTCCCAGTTTAGGAGCAAGGGAAGGGTGGCTTTGCTCTAATGTTGTGGAAACTGGAGGTTTCTTATGGGAGGTTTCGTGTGAGTGTATTTGTAGCTTGTCCAGCTGCAGGCACGTGAGCTTTGCTTGATTATCAGAGGCCATCAGCGAGCAGGAACAGGGAAGTGAGTTCAGCTTCTCCAGCTCCACCTCTTGGCTCTGGGCCAAACACTTCTGATGATCCACTTTCCCCAGCCTGCAGAGGTGCTGGCCAGCACAGCCATCAGAATTGGGCAGAAATTCTGAAGGCTGAGCTGAGGAGTCCAAACCCTGCCCTGTTCAAAGGGAAAGGTCTCTTCCAGAGAAACTGGGGGTCAGCATTGGA